TTTCCATAAATAAATTACTGAAAAATGGGGATAGTGGTGACCCCATAGCCATTCCAAAATTTTGTTGATAAAAATTGTCATTGTATTGAAAGTAAGTTCAGTTTACACATATTGTTAAAAGTTCAATAATGGTGTTAATGCTTAGTTGTGTGCGTTCTTTAAGATTGGTGTCATTTTGTAATTTTTGTTTGATGATATTTAAAGTTTTATCAACAGGAACGTTAGTGAAAAGCTAACAACATCAAAACTTACTAGAATATGGTTTGGATTTATGTCTATGTCTGATAATTTTTGCAAAAAATGTTCAGAATTTTTAATATAGGAAGTTGTGTTATTTATTAGGGGATTTAAAATGTTTAAAATATATTTGTCTAAGGGATGTGTAGGTGAATTTATACTAATAACTATTGGTCGTAAAGGAATATTAACTTTATGAATTTTTGGAACTCCGTAAAAATGTGGTGTTAATTTTGATCTAACGTAATCTGTGAAGTCATGTTTAAATTTTTTTAAAGTGTTATAAATTTGTCTTTCAAATTTGTTTGTAAAAAAATGAATCCGCCTCAACAATATAGAACTTATCTACAAGATAAATTCTATTGTAACTGGCATTAAATCGGGGTTTTCCACATGCACCGAGCGTATTTTTGGCAAATTACCACGTCGTTGTGCAATTTTTAATCAGCTGGGACAAACTGAAAAAGCCTCCAGCTGCAACTCAGAAGCTTGTCCAGCTCCCCAATGAGCAAAGTCTATATTGCCTGGTGCAAAATCTAGGCTTGTTTCGTCGACATTCTCAGCCCGGGAGTGTCCATCCAATAAACGCCTTCTGCATCTCCAAGAATTTACAACATCAGTTGAAAGCTGCTACTTGCGATGGATTAACGCGACAAACCCATCGAATAAATGTTTTATTTCGGTAATCTCTCAATTTACCAGCGAAAACAAATGTGACTCGATAAATTCCCTACTTTGAAGACGAACCTTTGTTTATATCAGTTGATTAATGTTATCGGAAACAGAATTAATGGGAAAATTATTCGCGTTTTTTATCGAGGGCAAAGTAATGGAATATTTCGCTAGAAGAAAACCGTCAAAACCTCCGTTCGCGGTTCGCATGAGCAAGCGTTGCAATAAAAAAGCCATTTACAAGCAATCGTTTACGACGCCGAACATATATTTGGTTAGAACTCTAAACTCTTCTATGTATGGTGCCGCTTCGACCTAACAGTGCAACAAATCTAATTATATTCACTTTGACACCATCAACATAATAAAGCGCGTTATCGCAATGCAAACACAATATTATGATTTGTATATTTTTATTTGCCCCAGTATTCCAAAAGGTGGCATACACTTATAAATCTCTTGGTTAAACATTTGTCTCCATTCAGCGGTGGCGCAATTCTCAGATCTTCAGCTGAATACCGACAGGATTTTGAAAAACTTCTCCAATTGTTCGCGGTTTTACTGCAAAAAGTGTTTGCTTTCGAACTAATTGCTGCAGAATGATCAATTGCAAACTTTCCTAATTAACCATCGGACTAAGACAGAAATAACGTCCTGTTTGGGGCACGCCATTGAGTTTCAGTACTGAACAACTCATGATAAGAGTTGCGTGCATTTTTGAGTAAATGTTATTTCGTTTGATTACGAAGAAGGTCCTAAAATTAAATAAATGTTATTTAACTTAAACCAAACGCTGTTTATTTTCCAGCTTTGCTGTAGCGTTTTCATAATCCCTTTATGTACTCTTTGCCACTAAATAACGGAAATTACGACTGTTAATTACTCAGCGATTACGCACAGATCATGTGGAAAACTTCAATTTCCCAGATGTGAGCCATAAAACGCAACACACTCGGTATTTTCCAGCTGATTCAGCCGTTAAAAAATACTTTTTGACTTCAATTTTCATTTTTTACAAACTTCTTTTTGGGTATTTCGCCTCAAAAATTTTTGTCTTTAAACAAGACGGAATTTCCTCACGTCCTTTATTACAGATTTAATAGTGCTCCTATTTCGCATTAATATATACAATTTATTAACATACTCTTTTTTAGGTTCATTTAGGTTCTTTTGATAACGATAGCAGAAAATAGCTATCGAAACGTCAAAAACTCCAAAAATCCAATTAAAATTGCGATTTCGTCCATTAGCTTTTCGAAATTAGTTGATTTTTCACGATTGAAGTTGCAAATATCAAGTTAATCGCTTTTGAAACAAAGATTTCCAGATCAAAATCTCAATTTCTTTTTAAAAACTGCACTTTGAAATTTGTATTTCTACTTAACATTACAGTCAAGGTCGCATTTAAAAAAAAAAGCTGTGATTTTTTTCATATTAAAGTCGCCGTTCAGACCTGAGCGAGCAAATATCGAATTTAACTCGAAATATTGTGTTTGCGCTTAGAGACTGAAGTGAGACTTGCACTTATAAGTGAATTTTTCGAGATGAGAGTACAGATTTTGGGTTTCAATAGAAAAGTTCGTGGTTGAAGTTCGAACTTCAAGGTGAAAGTCTAAACATCCCCGTAAACGTAAACATTTTAGTGCAAATTTCGCGATCAGCGGCGGTATTTTAGATTCAAATTCATCACTTCTATATTCAAGTCGGGTTTTCCAGTTTAAAGTAGAAAAAAATCATCGAGCTAAACTCGAAATTTTGAGTTTACGATTGGAATTTGACGCGAAACTCGAACTTAAAGTGATTTTGTTGTGGTTGAAGTTCGAGCTTTAAGTTCAAAGTCTCAACATCCACTTAAAAGTAAAATGTTGAATTGATCCTTGGACATTATAAGTCGAGTTTTCCTATTGGAATGGTAAACATTTAGAAATGTTTTTCGGGCTTTGAAGCCGTGGTCCATGGGAATTTCTTCCGGACGTTTCGCAAGCACGAGTGGCTTTTTTATGTGACCTTTTAGTAATCTTTATCGGCTGAATGGTATGGCTTAAGCGCAAAATACCGGCATTCAAACTAGAAAGTCTGCAAAATTCAACGTATTTTATCAAGCTGTATTTTGGTTTATTATGAAAAATTATAAAGAAAAATATTTTTTGCCGAAGCTAATGTTCTTGAACTCACAGTTCACAGTCTGATCAGCGACTTCAAGTTTCATTTTTGTTTTAATTTATATTTTCAAGTCGACATTGAACTGTATTTTGATTTATTACAAAATAAAAATTTCTACTCAGACTCAACGCAAAGAAAGTCGTGTTTAAGGAGCCTGAATCAAGCCATTGCTTGAAACTGGTAAAAAGTCTCAAATAAGGCAAGAATTTCTACCCGATGTTTTGCAAGCACAACCAGCCTGCATCTTCAGAGGTGGCTTGCAAAAGAATTGTTCGAGGCGAGAAAACC